GTCTGACACAGGCCCGTAACATTTTGTATGGATAATAAGATATCAAGTAAATTTTATAAGCGGTAATTATATTTTTACCTCGTGTCAATAAGGTAATTGTACTTTAATTTTGTTTAATTGAATAATTATACTCTAATTTAATTTCAATTGAGTAACTCTGTCTCACCATCACCGGAACCAATATGAATTGCCGACTTAACAATAAAAAATGATTGTTATAATTTATTTCACCAGAATAGTAATTATTACATGTTAGCAATTAATACTTACGTGCAATAACCATCATTTATTTACTGTCATGTTATCGATTTTTGTCGGTATAATTGGATGAAGTTATATCAATTGAAATCAAATTAAAATAGAATTATCTTATTGCAATTAAATTAAAGAATAATTATTTGATTGAATAAAATAAAATTACAATTACCTAATAAAGTAAAAATATAATTATCATGAATGTAATTGCATAAGTTAGATATCATGGCACAATTGAGAAAGAAGAAAGGGTAAACATTTTAGTAATTATACTGTCGAATAATACCCCTATTACTTAACATGGAGCATTTTGTATGGCGACTAACTTACATGATTAGAAATGAAAATGAACAAACAATTTCATATAAGATTTCGTAGAATTTTTTATTTAATTTTGTGATAATAATGGCTTGTTTTCCTCCTTATTTATGTGAATTTTGGTTTTTAAACGTACACAAAAAGAGTAATGCTATTCAGCACGACGTGTGTTAAAACATCAGTCTAAGTGACATTAATTTGATATTAAATGTTAAGTATAATTAAATAGTCATTTAATTTCACTTTTTATTGAGTCGTATAATGCTAGATAACATTATTCATACAATAATATTTCTAAATCCGCCCAACTAGAATTATAACATCAATGTTTTTTTTATATGGTGTTAGGTGATAGGTTAAATGAATAATTGTACTTATCAATATTATATTAGCGTTATATGAACTGAAATTATAACTCTTATATATTGGCGTCACATTGAGAGCATGTTTGGGAGGAATTTTAATCCAATTAAAATTGAAAATATAGTCGTTATTGGGTCCCACTCGTCTAATAGAAGTCAACAATAATAGCGTTAATATTTAATCCGATTTTAATTTCTACCAAACAAGCTCTGATTCAGAATATAACACCACCACCGGGATTAAATAGCGTTAATATTTTTTTTTCTCCTTTTTGGATGCCATCATTATGATTCCATTATTCGTGAGGATGAGATGATGCATCAGTCGAAAAGGAAGTGGACCACAGCAAAAAGCAGTGGAAGCCGCCGCACTATATACTTTCCAAGTGCCCCCTCCACCGCTCTTTCTCTGATTCATCATCAGTCTCTGCTCATTACAGCAAATGAAATGAAAATACAAACAGTACAAAAACGGCTTTATTAGCAGCCCTCAATCCTATTCTCTCTATAAAATATCCTCAAATTAAAACCTTGCATTTTTGTTCTGGGATCAACTCCAGGTACTTTTCTGGTCTGTTTATTAGTATTTTGAAGATTCAAGCTTTAGCACGGTTTATGAGTATTTGTGGATTTTCTTTAATTTTCACGAGATGTTTATGTATAATTAGCTTTTTTATTTGTTTCTGGGTATCATTTTTAAATTGAGTTCGAGTTTCTTGTCGTATAGTTTCGATTTATTTTTACTGTGTGACATGATCATCGAAAGATTGTGTAATTAATGTGGAGTGAAAAGATAAAAGAATATGAAATCAAAACTTGCCTTTTTTTTGTTCTGTTTATACCCAGCCGAGGTATTTTTCTTTTCTATTTATCAGTACTTTCTTTTCTCTAATTTTTATGAGATATTTATGTTGAAGTGTTGTTCTTTACTTAAGGGTTTATATGAAGTTAGCTATTTTTGTTTCTATGGATCATTTTCTTTACTTCTGAATTGAGTTTTAGTTTCTTGTTTGTACAGTTGTCGGATTATTTTTATTGCATCAATTGATCACTGCGCTAACGCTAATTTCAGTTTTAGTATTGCTTGGTCTCATCTTGATTGCGTGGAAATTTTGGCAAATGGAAGTGTCGAGGTGTCAGAAGCTTATCTTCATA